TTGAGAACCACTGTTCTTAATGAATCAATAAATGTACTGATACCCAGTAAAAAAATTATTAAATTAAAAAATATTATATATATATATACAGTTGAAGTCAGAATTATTAGCCCCCTTTTGAGTTTTTTTTCTTTTTTTAATATTTCCCAAATGATGTTTAACAGAGCAAGGAAATTTTCACAGTATGTCTGATAATAATTTTTCTTCTGGATAAAGTCTTAATTGTTTTATTTCTGCTAGAATAAAAGCAGTTTTTAATAATAAAAAAAAAAAAATTTTAGGACAAAATTATTAGCCCCTTTAAGCTATTTTTTTTCGATAGTCAGAACGAATCATCGTTATAGAATAACTTGCCTAATTACCCTAACCTACCTAGTTTACCTTATTAACCTAGTTAAGCCTTTAAATGTCACTTTAAGCTGTAAAGAAGTGTCTTGAAAAATATCAAGTAAAATATTACGTTCATAATGACAAAGATGAAATAAATCAGTTATTAGAAATAGGTTTCTAAAACTATTATGCTTGAAAAAGTGCTGAAACAATCTTCCCTCCATTAAACAGAAATTGGGGAAAAAAGTAAATAGGGGCGCTAATAAGTCAGGGGGGCGGCTAATTACTGTATATATATATATATATATATATATATATATATATATATATATATATATATATATATATATATATATATATATATATATAAACATACATACAAACATATGTACACACACACACACACACACACACATTTCATATTTCAGATGGAATTTTGAGATTTTGCCATATAAACTCTTTACTCTCTCTCTCACACACACACACACACACACACACACACACACACACACACACACACACACACACACACACACACACACACACACACACACACACACACACACACACACACACACACACACACACACACACACACACACACACACACAAAATTGTTGTGAACTTCTTACATAGGCGTGCGTAGGAGTTTCCTTTTCAAAATTTACAGTTCCTTGGAGGAGAGTTTTCAAAGTGAATCACAATTTCAGGAGCATTTACACTCCACTGTTTTCAACAAAATAAAACCAAACCGTTTAATGCATGATGGTCATTGATTCATATAGCATTTTAAAAAATGGGTTTTAAAGTGCAAAATTGTGAATATAATTAATACCCCCATCAAAAAAATAAAAATAAAATAAATAAATAAATAAATAAATTGTTTCATGTGAAAATAGTGCCATTATGAACAAGGGCTGTCCTGAGCCCAAAAAAGAACAAATAAAAAAAACAAATATGTAAACTAGACATATTAATGTTTGAAGTAGTTAATTTACTTGCATTTGTGCCATTAAACTTAATTTTAACTGAGCAGAAAGCTTATAAAAAGTGCTTTTATATTCATTTTGAAAAAAAAAAAAGATACACTAGAGGTTTCATTTGAAGGAATAAATCGACTATTTAAGAATCCTTGTTGGTTGGTTTGCTTGGAAAATGTGTGCACTAACGCATTAAACTTTAAATGACATTAAATGTTAATATAAACCACCACACGTTGTGAGAAATTAATGAAAGTGGCCTCTGGAGATTCAGCATCTGTGAGAATATTTAATAAAAAGTGGCCACTAATGAAAACTATATTTCAGTACCACTTATTTTTATTCGATCTCATAACATTTAGACTCCAGCTTACTGCAAATTATGCATGAGTAGGCATAGTATCTGCACACCATTACCACTTGCCAAACGGTACAGGAAGTGTTGAAAGACAGATAATGCAAAAAAAAAAAAAAAAGTTTCTCCCATAAACAGTGAATGAATTTAGAAATTAAAAAAGTCACAGAGTATACATGTTGACACGCTTTAACTGGTTGAGACTGGTTTTAGTCTTCCGTATGTTGCAGCATCAGAACTGGCTGGGCCTGTTTTTTGTAACCTTACACACAAATGCAGACAGTTATATGACACACTTTATCATCAAGCTGCGTAATGCATTATCTGCATGACTTAAAAGTGCAGCAGCAAGCAAGTTAAGACATCAGCTCTTACATTTTCCTTTAATTGAATATTTATAATAAATTATTTATCTGTGCTTTTCACTTGCAATGACAATAATCCAGTTTAGAGGGGCAGTCTAAATATCTGTGGAAAATACTGATCCAGATCCAGCCAATACGAGCAGCTTTTTTTTCAATTCGCAACTAGAAAAAGTAACAGACCGTGGTTTGAGTGAGATTATTACACATTTTACCTTCGCTAGTCTCAAAGTCTGTGGTTTGTGACCAGGGCTTATGCAAGGTCCCATAAAGCATTTTGTTAATACATTTTTTAATAATAATAATAATTCGTTATATTTATATAGCGCTTTTCTGGGCACTCAAAGCGCTTTACACAATGGGGGGGGGGGGGGGGATCTCCTCATCCACCACCAGTGTGCAGCATCCACCTGGATGACGCGACGGCAGCCATTTTGCGCCAGACCGCACACCACACACCAGCTGATTGGTGG